TGAGAGCTGTTATTAATTTAGCTTGCAATATATTTTTTACATATTTAATTAAGCAATTTTATTGTCCAACGTACTGTAAAAGTTGCTTATTGACGATAGCATATCTTATCGAAATCAGAGTAATAATTGTGTTTATATTATCAGAGTGCGCAATCTGCAGAGAGGTGCTCGGTTGAAGATAAAATTTCTGTTCTTTCCTCTCCCTCTCTCTCTTTCTCTCTCTCGCTTTAAAATTCTTGGAAATAAGATTCACAAGCGCGTTACTCGCATTCTTACCTGCATCAAATACTGTCTATCGGTCTAACGACACGTACAACGGCGTGTCCGAACAACAAATAACAGGTTAGCCATCGCGATATGAAATATGATTACTCCGGTTCGCTGTACGGATCGCATTGGTCAGCCGCGTTGGAGTTTTCAGCATGTCGGTTTGTCAGGGCGTGCCAGTGTCTATGGATGGATCGGTAACACGTTCAGAATTTTCAACCGTGTCGCGCATCCAACGAGAGACAGAGAGAGAGAGAGAAGAGAGAGAGAGAGAGAGAGAGGGAGAGGGAGAGAGAGAGAAAGAGCATGAGAAAAAATGGAAAGAGGAACAAAGACGGAGAATGAACGTGAAAGAGTACGAGATAAAGAGAAAAAGAGAGAGAGAGAGAGAGAGCGAGGGAGAGGGTGAGAGAGAGAGAGAGAGAGAAAGAGAGAGAGAGAGAGGGAGAGTAGAGAAGTGATACGAGCAGGCTTCGTGCGCACAGCACACGGAGTGTACACACAGCACGAACTTGTTCGGGTTGGGATAGAATAGGATAGGTGGGGCCGTTATTAATCTGGTGTCGAGTTGAGCACAAAGTTATATAGGAGCTCAGGAAATGAAACACGAGAAACCTCCCTCTCTGCCTCCCGCGGCCTTTCCCCTCTCTCCCCCCTCCCCTCCTCTCCTCCGGCATGTCCACCTACTTCACCACTCTCCTATCTCTCCTCCTCTTTCCAACACCATCCGAGAGTCTCCGCATCCCCCTTTCTGTCCCTACAGTCCCTACGTCCAACTTTGAATGTATTACCGGACCACCACTAAACCTTCCTCTCCTCCCGCCCACCCCTTTATCCCTTCCAGTCTCCGGTCAGATGGAGATATAACGATCACCGGCACATGAGCCATGGGCCCGCGGAGACATGCATATTTATGTCGCCTGCCTGTATTCTAAGGCCGCCGGTGACACTCGGCTTGTCCTTCCTGAACTCTTCCGCCGCGCGCAAACAATAGTAGTTGCGCAACTGTCGCGGTCAATGTGCTTGGGACAGATCTAGAAGCAGTTGCTTTGGACCAATGATAAATACTCGATGAGTTATTAATCGTACCGCACGAAGAATGTCTCTTGTCACTGTGAGAAATTTCTTATCAGAATTAAATGTATAGAGCTGTATGTATGCAAAAACGATAGCAATAAGACTCGAACGATCTATAATACATAGCGATATGGAAGCAGGTCCTTCGCTCTTAATTAATTCACTATTCTGCCCCTAATTACGGATAATAAAAGATTAATAAATCGCTCGAGCGCAAAAAGTCATGAAATATGAACGCGTGGGTTGTCGCTCAGGCTTTCAGGAGTTCTTTTGATACGTACTGCGCGTAGGGTAGAGCAATGAAATTAATCGGTTTTACACCGGCGTGGCGAGGGGGTTGGACTTGGAAATGTTGTTGGCAGTCGGGGCCGCGGGCGGAGAAAAAGCGAGAGGGGTGTCCATGATTAAAATCGCATCAGACCGTCCTTGATGCACGAAATGCCCGCGTTACCGCGTCTCCGTGCCTCTTGAGTAGCCGACGTGATCGGTATACGTGGTCGTGCGTGTATACGTGTGTGCGTTCCACACCAAGTACGAGCGAGCGTTATCTCTCCCATGCTTTTCGTCCCTCTGTCCGCCTTATTTCCAGTCCACTCTGTGCCAGCCGTCACAAAAACACGAAGCTTCGTTTGCCGCTGATGGGCTTATAATTGCGGAAATAACGTTGCTCGCTATGGCCACTACGGTGGTGGCATGAGCGCGACTTGCATGCGTCTATTTTGTCTTCCAGACTGGATTGTCATCTCCTTTTTTTACAGCCGCGCATGTAACGTAATATTAGCGGGCCCTCGAAGCGCTTAATATCGATAAAGACCCGTTGCCTCGAATAATTAATTCTCGCATTTCCGAGGAAAGCGTTTTTTAATGTTCGAACTATCGTCTGAAATTTAATGCACGGGGGGGTTAGTCGAGCAGCGATCGTGACGTACCGGCACAGTTGATCGCGCTTTTTCCCATGGGGTGGTAAGAAAGACCGGGAGGCGGGAGAGTGAAAGGCGCGTGTTCGGAGACCGAAAGAAGGAGAACGGGGGAAGGAACAGAGCGAAGACAAATGCGAGGGCCATCAGAGCACCAAGCCATTTCTGCCTCATTGTGGACTCCATTTGCGACTCTTAGATTGTCGGTGAAATATCTCGCCGCGGTGATGGAAAAATCGCTAACGTAGGGAACTGGCAAAATAAAACTAGCGGCATTTCTCACTAGTACGGACTTGGAGTTTCTGCTATCCGACACGGTAAAGAGAGTATCGTGGCAAAAACCGAAAGACGATAGAGTGGCCCGGAATACAACTTAACCGAGAAAAGTCCGAGGAAAAAACTCCGGAGAGATAGCTGTTGATAGTTTCATGTGTGTATTTGCCTTGAGCGCGATAAATATTCTCCGCCATCGCTTTTATACTTCGCATCTACTCTCGATCTCGCTAGTATCATTTGTCGAGTTTGACAGATCCGTACATATTTTATGGATTAATAATATAAAAAATATAATGTATACAGATGTACAATACGATTATAGAGATTCGTAGATTAATCGTATATAAAAAAATAACATGATTTTCTAAAGCATGTTGATTCAAATTCATTCGGGATAAAGAAACTGTGTGGCGTTTTATCAAATTACGATTGGATATATACAAATTGTAAGCGATTTTTCGTTTCAAGACACGAGCGGTAAGGTTTCGAAGACGAGGGAGAAGCCGAAGAGAGTACTAGTAATAGATGACAACGTAGAAAGAAGCAAGCGGCACATTTCTACTAGCACGATATAAAGAGAGACTTTTTTCACCTGGTGATGGATCGCTCGTGGCCGAACTGGTGTAACAGAAAGAAGAGAAGAAGAAATCACGAGCGCGAACGAAGGTTCCCTATGGGGATGTGGTGGCGTCATTAGGCTGGTCCGAGCGAGCTAATGCACCATCCGTCGGATTTCGCCGGAGGCCTTTGGAAAAACCGAGTGAGGTCAGCATGTAAGTCCAGCATGAAGAACGATGAGCGCGTAAATGGCGTCTGTAAAAGTTGCCAGACTTAGAGATTCCTACGATTTGCTCCATATTGAAAGAAATCTTTAGAATTTTTCGAAATTAAAAAAGAGGGAAACTCCGTACATAAATAAAATGATGATGATACTAAAACTTTTTTATACAAATTAAATTGAATATTTATATACTTTACGTGCGCGTTTCCCTAGAATATTAAATTCATAATACAGTTTAAAAGGTTGTATTTTTGTTGAAATACACACGCGTTATCTACAGCGAGATTTCAATGCGTGGATGCTGCTTTTCCTTTGACAACAGGACGATAAGCGAAAGCGCGAGCTATACCCGGTCGAAAGAAGGAGATAACGGATGAATGAAGAAGAAAGGAGGAAAAGGATGATCAGGGTTGCGCAGGGGGTTAAGCGCTACGAAGGGATACGAGGAGGAAAGTGTAATCCCAAACGATCAGCGTGCGGCAGATTCGGCCTTAATGAGCTCCCACAATGATAAATGATACCGTGGGCCGCGCCTCTCTCTTACCGCGTTTATCCACCAGTCGGAATAGGGTGTATCCTTGTACGGGGTACAGGTCGGCGGCGCATACACGGTTCCTCTGCGCCTGTACCAACGTACGATGGCATCCATCCTACCAACGAGGAGCCCCGATCTCTCTTTCTCTCGTTCGCGTTCTCTCCGCGCCGCGTGAAGCCTTCATCTCCGCCTACGATTCCTCAAACTCGGCCTCGGGATTGACCACTGCGAAGGAATTCAAAATGGCAACCTTAAGCTCGATCGAATCTGTCTCGTGTGAGTGACAACTATCCATCCTTCGCTTCTGGACGTTTCAATTGGATGTCTTTCGGACGTCTCGTGCACAGTGGGAATCCACGTGGGAATCGTGTTCGGAGATACCTGCGTTCTTATCGAGAAAAATCGACTTTTCTCAATTTGATGTTTATCTAAAAATAGTACTATAATATGAATATTTTTAGGCAAAGAGAATAACTAGGTGATACGTTAAATAACTATTATATTTTAATTCCTTCGATAAATTTTTTATTAGTAATTAATATTCGATTTTTTTTTGTTCTAATTGTAATGCAAACGAATTATAAAATTGAATCGCCAATAAAAAGATTTTTTTTACGTAAAAGACATCACTTATATAGGCCTGTCATTCTTTGAACGCTATTCATCATGTTCATCCTTTTCTCGAAGGTCGAAGCGCTTGTAGCTATTAATAGTCCACTTCCGAACTGACGACGAGTTATCTATTTTCGAGACATTTCAATTTTCAGGTAGCCCTTCGGCCAGTTAGGAGGTAAAGATAGAGATCAATTGTGTTCACTCCTTTAAAATCACGCACTTCAAGGTCGCAAATGACCCGAGGGACATGAAGCCTTCCTAAAATCTTACCTGGATGACTTGTAATATTAACAAGTATCGGCGAAGTAAATCAAAAACGTCAGTTTTTTTTGTTTCTTAAAATTCGTAAAATATTACAATCTATCAAATATATATTTCTTTGTAATATTTTGTTTCAAATTATACACTAATATGTATTTTATCGTTCATCGATTTATTCTGAATATAATTGGAATATTTTCATTGAATTGTGAATTAATAAATGTAGATTTTTACAATCATACAAAATCAAAGTATTTACTGTTGTGTTTAATATATCTATATTAAATATCGGAGTTCTAATTAAACCGTCGTATTAACGCTCGTCTTATTTCGGAAACTATATTCCAAGGATCAATCTGGCGCAGCTGCCGTCGATGACTAGCTGACAGGTGATTTCGTCTCGGTGAAAGAAGATGATTGCCTCATTAGAGTAACCAACTATAAGCGGATAACAAACTTGCTCTCTTTTCTTTTACTACCCGTGCAATAATTATATACAAGCAGTAAAGCAAGTGAGTTGTCAAGTATAAAACTAGAGTGTACGCTTATTGAGAATGAAATCTCCTTATCGGGAAAGACAATCTTGATGGACGCACTTATATTTCTCCACAATTTATGCGCATGGCCTCGTTATTTCTATATAGCTTTATTGCATCATCACGTTGCCTCTTATTGTTATCTAATTAATCATCGGTGGATCCATTGTCATTAGCATCTTTGCACCGTCTGTTGGGGAGATAATGGAACATTATTGTCGGAATTATTTGCCAATAATTAATTATTAAATTATTAAATTAGCATTTGCGATGTTCACGAAATTCATGCGCGATTAAAAAATTAATCGAGAGATGCGAGAGAGAGAGAGGATATCGGGAAGTCGCGATGACGAGCAATAATCTCGAGTCACGGTGACGATCCCTAGCACTTGGATCAGTAGAAAAGGCGAGCGCAATTTCCGACGTATTCCCGACTGCAACAACTGTACAAAGAACGGGGAATCTTTTCGTTTCTGTGAATGCCGTGCATTAATCAGGCGCCGCGGGCGCCTGACGTCTTAATCTGCTTAATCCTCGGTGGCCTACGCAACATCCTGCACGCCCACGATTCTATGTACGTACTAAACGCCAGGTACATTCGCGATGCGGCCTTTGTCAGGACTCGAGACTCTCGTCGTGGGATCGTTGTTGTAACAACGTGCGCGGTAACGGGACTCTGCGGTATATACAAAGTTGCAAGGCGGATGAATAATCGGCGCGATATCGATATTCGCGAGGAGAGAATTTGCACCGGTGGAAAAGAGGAACAGTTATTTCTCGAGGATTCGAGGAGGGATTAAAAATATGCGCTTGCACGCGCGCTTTCTCAACATTTCACGGTAATGAACTCGATCGACACGAGATTAATATCCGTGAGACAAAAAAATAAATCTCGATTATGCGCCAATATTTATATGCATCATGCGAAACGAAAGTACGAAGAAACTTGCACGAGACGCTTCATAAAGGATCTTTAACAAAGAAGTGAATGCGTAAATCCCGATAAATGAATGTCTCTGCTTGATAAGCGCATTAACGAGCGCGAATTTGAATTCTTAATTAAAGGTTCCTTTAGAAGAATCGTCACGTAATAAAGATAATTCAATGAACCGATGAATAAAAGGAGAGAAATAAAATTTAAGGGCGCGAAAGATCGAACGAGGACTAATCTTACATGACCGACATCGTTTCGTGGATGTCGTGCTTTCACTTCAAGGCAGGTTGACTGCAGGAGGCGATTGGTTCTCGCAGGGCTCCTCCCAGAAGCCATTAGGAGCCGAAACGGAGAAACAGCATTAATTTTAAAACCAATCCTGGAAGAGAAATCGAGCATTCGCCGCCATTCGTGCGAGTCCACGATGAGGAGAAAATCTTCCAAAAGAAGAGCCGCCTTAATTGCTCGATCGTTTTATCTCTCGCCTTTCGGAAACAAGCGATTTAGAAAATTAGAGCATCTCTAATTTACAAAATTTCATTATTTTATCAGTCATAAATCATTTGACAAGATCATATAGATGAAGAGTACTTTTTCTGAGAAAATATTAAATTTTCAAAAATTCTTTAATAATTCGTAATTCGTAAAGTAAAGTCAAATAAAGTTAAGTCTATAAATTAAGCTGATTTCATATAGAACTCTACTTCACTTTCGTACTATATGATATTTGTCATTTAGCTTTTCTTTTTCTTTTTAAATAAATTTTTTATACCATCGTCAAATATAATAACAGGCTATAGATGTATCATCGATTTTCATCAACGTTTGCGCATTTAACTAGTTACCATCTTAATAACCGGTAAGGCCGATCGTGAAATATTTAAGAAGCAACGGGGAAAATCGATGATGGAGGAAAAGGAATAGTCGAGTACAAGAGAGATGAGGAGGGATAAGGAACAGAGACGTGGAATAAGAAGAGAGTAAGGTTTAGGTAGCTACTCTCGGGTTGAAACGGAGGGAGCCGCCTTGTGTTTGTGCTCTCGCCGGGGAGCACAAAGAGAAATGGCAAGGTATTTATCAGTGCTCACCCCCTCTATACCCTTTTGTCCCCTTTTCCATCGGCTCTCCGTTTCTCTCGCCCCGATCTTGTCGTCCTCGTCCGCCTCTCTTCTACTATTACCTTGCCTTCCATTCTACATCCAAATCCATTCGCCCGGCTGCCAAACCCCTCTCTTTCCTCTCTTCCGTAAGCTCTCTGATGCCCTTTCGCGCACCACATATATGAGTACTCCATCTTCTCCTACAGAGGACTTTGACAGCTGTCTAATTCACGTTTCACATACGGTTACCTGGGATTTTCTCGTGTGTTTCCCCGGGGGCGAGCCTCGGACGTATTTCGGTGCGCTACACAAAGAGATGAGTTACAAACTCATTTTTAAAACAAAAACTTTTCTACATTTTTCGGCTACACGCTACCTACCACGCATCAGAGGAATTTTGAATGATAGCATGACACAGCCATTTCAAAGGAGCAATGGATTTGTACTTGAAACAGCTATTTTAACTTGTACATCCATTACATTTTCCCCTCATTGGAAGAAATCCAAGAAAGAGAAAGAGAGAGAGAAAGAGAGAGATATTTATACTTTTGAAAAATGTAGAAATCATGTGTGGGTAGGAAGAAACGACAATCTATGTATTTACATGATTATATACAATATTTTTTTCGTTTTAAGACAAAACCTTGCGATAAAAAAATACTCTATCAAGAAAAACAGTCATAGATCACCGTCAGTTGCAATCTTTCTTATTGTTAGTAGAAGCATCTTTCAATAACAAGCAACTTAAGATGAGTGACTTGAGATAAATACAGTCACTCGCATCTATGGGGGAAGTCAAAGTATAGTATCCGATCGAAATGACGCGAATAATATAGCGTGAAATCTATATTTGCTCTCCAAGGAATGGGGAAATTTTCGATACCTGACGAAGATAAAAGAATGACCTCTCGATTCTGTAGAATACATTCTCATACTGTTAGTCGCGGCATCGACAATTTTGATTCGTCACAAGTTCGGCCAGCAAAGGATGGAACAAAGATGGGGGAAGGAGGGAAACCGGTATTTTTAAATCACCCTTTTTTAAAGGGCGATTCGCTAAATCGACTTTGCCGTTCTACTGTAATTTCTTATCCCTCCCGCATTGAAAGCTCCCGACTTTCTTATGGGGTGCTCGCCACCCCACTTCGCTCGAAACTCTCTTCGACCCCTGGTCCGATCTCCGCCAACGAGGGGTCTTATCGGTTTCGATTATTGTTTGTTATCAGCATTTAAACATTTATGGTTCTCGGCTTTGTTGCAAATACCCCGAAATAAATTCAACGAACCATTGAACTTTAGACGCGAGATATTTTTCGTTCCCCGCAAGTATCGCGTTTGCTCAATACGTTATAGAAAGAGCGTCTGTCTTGCAATATAAAACAATTTAATTCTCGAAAAATTGATTTTTCCACACGTGACGAGCGAATAGAGTTTCTCTCACCGGATAATTTCTGAAAGAATTACAACCAATGTTAAAACCCGTGTAACTCGTGTATCGCAGTCGTGTATCTTACCGTCGCAAAAGTCGAAAGAAAATCGTAAAATTGTGTTTTGCGCTTATTCGCAGCGACATTAGCGGGCCCATACGCGAGTCAAAACATTACACAAAGTTTTTGGGAAGAGGTGGAGAAGACTAATAATCTCGAAATAATGTAAGCATAATAAATGGCCGGGCATTAGCGAAGCGCTCGGCAGCCGGCTCATATTTTCGGTGGCGCTGGCTTTGACGTAACATTACTCCAAAGTGCGTTACATATTACTACCATATATATGTATTTGTATTTTCGCGCGTGTAAGCCACGCAACATATTCTTCCAACAAGTCGTTCCAACACGGGGGGATATTACATTCTGTTGCCCGCTTCCTTCCCGTGGCGTTTGCTAACGAATATCTTATAACCAGAAATCGTCAAGAATAAATGCTCCCTCGATATAAATAAAACACGCTTAATTTCATTTCTTTCTCTCGCATTATATGAAATAAACAAGTTTTAATAATAAATCATAAAAAAAAAGAGATCGTTGCTTACATCTTTTATTTTAACCGAGGAGCAATGTTGCAATAAATATTTGATAAATGATTAAATGAATGCCGATTGAATATTTCTTTCGAGACAATGTAAAGAGGTGCGCTATTTCCGACGTAGAAACTACGGCTGTTATCAATTTAGCGGCAGCGAGTTAATCTTTGCCAGGCGCACTTGCGCGTTTTTCAAAATGCAGCTTCTTGCGATGCATCCGTCACATACGGTTACCTTTAAAATTTACTTAATTGTCCGTAATTAATTCGCCTGTAATCAGTTAATAATTATATGCTCTTAACGAATTATACTAGCAGGAAATTATTTCTAGCTGCGCGGGTAATTATGCTAGGAATTTCTACACCTTAATTGATTCGCGGAACTGCAGGAGCGCTCAGGGTTTATATACCATATCGCGGAATCAAGCATTAAAAATTATTGCCCGTATTGATTACTTCCGGGTTGTTACAAAACGCAGATTTTTCTTGGCTCTGTCCACACTATGATCCTTTTATTTCACGGACGAGACGTAAAGAAAAAGATCCGTATGATTGTCTTCACTCTTTTTACATAACATGGATTATTATTATTTATTGTGCAAAGATTAATCGACGTTATTAAAATCTTGTATAACGCAGATCTGCTATTTTAATATTTGAATTTTCTTTAAAACTACATTTTACAAAGGAAAATCACGCATGCTGGATATTTCGAAAGACCGGAGGAGAGAGGGAAGGAAGGGCGGAAAGAAGAAAAGGAACAAGATTTTCTCCTAAAGTCACGTTTGCATTCCGCACGCGACTTCTCCGGTCGAAACGAAGAACAGTCGAAGGAGAATAAGGACGGCGAGGAAGAAGAGGAGGATGAGGAGAAGGAAGAGGAGGAGGAGGAGAAGAAGAAGAAGAAGAAGAAGAAGAGGAAGGGAAGGCAACGGGGCACGCAGTCAACGACTACAGAGACTATCCGAGGTGCTGGTTGACAGCAACAAATGCCTCGGTGCAGGCAAGACGGGGAGCTCGCGCCCGGGACGCCGGTTGCAGGACCGGCTTGAGATATTACCAGGCAGATGCGGTCGCGCGCTGATCAAAGAAACGCTCCTCACTGAGAGAGATTAAATGGATGCTGGTGCGCGCCGGCAACCACCACAACGTGGCTACAAATAATAAGTCGGGAAGAGAGAAGAGGGAGAGAGGGAGGAAGAGAGAGAGAGAGAGAGAGAGAAGGGTAGACCTCTCTCTTCGTTCGCTCGCGCGGCCACCTTCCTAACTCGGACTTGATACATTCCCATCTTGCGAAGCTCCGCTCCCGTTGTGCCGGCCCCGGCTCCGTAACTCTCACCCACGTCACGTCATAACATCATTACGCCCGCGATTGGTCATGAACGAATGATTGGCCGCGCGTTATTCCAGCGTCGCGCGCGACATGCCGAGATGTATCTCGACGAGATGTCGGATCCGAAGGCACGTGTGTAAGCCCCGAGACTTTTACCAATCCCCGCGATGCTTCATCTCCGAGGAAGCTCCGAGGTTTATCGCCGGCCGTACAAAGCGAACATACGCTTCTAACCGGTGTGTAGTCATCTTTCACGTTAAGGACTTTGATTTCGTCTCGGTGTATTAATGCTCGTTTTATTCCCGGAATATCCTCCCGTCTTTTTTTTTTTTTTTTTTTTTTTTTTTGTTGAAAATAATCTCCGATCATTTGAATTCGGAGAGACGCGAGAATGCGATATCTATCGTCGATCGAATCGAAATGCGGGCGCGATCCGAGAGTAAGGCTCGAAAATACCTGCTGTAGAGGCAACGCGATATCCTCCCGCTTAAAATTCAATTAATTTGGCGGCGATGATTATCTAGTAGAGAATAATGAGAATGCATCTCAACAAGTGTTATCACCGTCGGATCTCCCTGACATCCCCCTTATTTAGGAGATAACGACGGCTGTTCGCTACAGTCACTCTTCTTGAATGGTGTTGTCATTCGTCGCTTACTCCCTGCCGTTGTCTGAGCTCCTAGAGGGTCTCTAGATGCCGACTAAACTAGCCAATGAGAGAGGCCCTCGTGGTACACCTCGCTTTCTTCCACCTACACCGCTATTTCTCCTACGCCACGCTTTATGCCTCTTTCTCTTTCCCCCTCTCTTCCTCCCGCCTGCACCTTTGCGCTGGCTTTCTCGCGATGAGATATGACTGCCACATTATCACCTGATTATGTTATCACTTTGCATCGCCCGTTCTTTTACCGCGCCAGCTAAGGATACCGTCCATCACGACCATGAGGATCTGCCGTTAGTGGACGCGGATTAGAAAACAAGATTTTTAATATTTCAGGAATGTCAATCGTTTTGCGCGTCATCATTATTATTTTTCACCTTATATAGGAGAAAAAAATTCTTATTAATAATAACAATAACGCAATATATGGACTCGATAAAGCGTAATCGAGTATAATTGACCGGTTAAAACGACAGAGAAAATTTCTCATCATGAGATTACTTGGCTTTCCGCTTTTTACCCGCCATTATATTAAAATTCGCGAAATTTAACGCTTCGAACGCCCGCGACGGATATTCGTGGTGGTTACGCGGGAATAAGCATAGGCAGTAACTGGATCCGGTATAGACATAGTCGGGATAGACCGTCGAGCAGCGGGCACCGCTGCGGGACCATCAGGTCGCCCACAGCTCATCGCCGAGCGATCACATCTCATCGCCTCGCACCATCGCCATGGACTATTACAAACAGAGCCCCCCCCCCCTTCCCCCGCCGTCGCCCGGGGTTTCCTCGCACCACCGCTCGGCTCCCAATTCCAGTCCAGGTGCCCTCTCTTTCTCCGTCGCGCTCCGTACTCTTGTTCCGGGCCCGTGTTTCAACCCCATCGCGATTCCACCTCCTGGCCCGACGTATCACTGACGCTCTATCAACATATCCGACCGCTTAGCACCTACTTCCCAGGAGTGCGATACCGCTCGTAACTCATTTGAATTACACATTTCCCTCAGTTCTGCGAAATAATACGTACGAGGATCCGCCAGAGCCGCGAGAATGCAAATGGTATCAGAGTCGGAGCGAGAGCCGGCGCTCGTCCCACTTGTAATCACCGATCGTGTGAATCCGCGCAATTTTAATCGGGCCCGAGCGAGCGGACGAATACTGTACCCCTCGGATCTGATCGGCAAGACTGTGCGATATAAACGAGCACGTGTGATTAAGCTGTAATTGAATCGTCGTTCGAATACTTTACATCGAAAATTCATGCTGTACGCTTTCACGTTTAGCTCCTGGTAATGTCCAAGAGAGGTTCAGCCAAGATGAAAGCGTTCTAAACAAATTTATTAATCGATGCGCAATATCTCGAAATAGCCAGCGCAGATTTTAACCGCTCACCAAAGTTGTCTGCATAACAATAATATGCAAAACGTATAACTAGACGTTATACGTTTTATTATGCAACATTATAGTTGTAAAATTGTCAAGAGAAACTGTACATTTTCAGCAGATATATTTCTAAGGATAGAAAGGATATCGATTATTAATGTCGCAGAGGTAGAAGCTGGCACATTAGAGATTCTCCGAATCTACGAGGAAACTTTGTATCCTCGGGAGTATTGGTAACGTCGCTCGATCAAGAAACAGAACCGCGGAAGGATATGTGAAAAGTGGTTTCTCGAGATTCCGCTGTCTACGGCTCCCTGGCGCCTCGCTTTGCTAATCGCGGCCCATTAAAACGCCCTTCTTCCGTTCCTGAGCCATGAGTTTACCAAAGCGCCGCCGCTTCTCCCCGCAAATTTTCTCGCTTTAATCTTGGCTGTAATGTCCTAACTTTCTAAACCTCAAAGACCAGAGCAACTTTCCCGGCTCGTAATAATGGGAGAATCGGACAAGTAAGGTACTCTCATTTCTTGCAACAGTTCACGGTTATTGGTTCCTCTTCTTGTACATCTAATCGTCTGCCAGAATCTCAATCGAACTGAAAAAGAAAAAAATACGTTACACGATATAAGACTCGTAGAATATCCAGAAAATAAAGTGGAGTAAATTCGCTTTAACGCGATATATTATGTGAACACTTTTTTTCGTTTAATAGACTCCGATGACGATCAATAATATGTAAAAATATTGAACAACATCCAAGTAATTATTAGAGTCTCCTTGAAGAATATTTAAATCGATATCGATTCTTATGACGAGCATTAAAAAAGTGTAAAACTATAGCTTCTTCCGTAATTTCAAAGTTTCACCATTCCAGAATTTTGGCGATCATCGAGCGGCGTTAAGCCGCGTAATTCGATGAAATAAAGCGAGATCGGCAACGGGAGAGGTTCTTACGAGGACCAATTTCCGACGGTAAGAATTTCCCTAATTATTATTGACCATTAAGGCGATGAGCGTTATTATTTTAACGTCCGCGTCTGCCGACCGGCCTCGGCTAATTTGCCTCCGTGAAATCGATTGTGCCGCGTGCGTTTGCACGTTCATAAATAATCAGAGCGTGCTTATGAGATGAAAGATCGCGCGTCCGCTCAATATTATAATAAGTTCGCTTTTTCGCGGCTCTCTAACGAATATTAATTCAGCCAACGTCGATCGTGTCAATTACTCGTACATCGGACTCGATATTCTCTCGAGACAGAAAAGGCCTCCTTTTCGCTCACGCATTCCATCTTTGATCGGTGATTTTTTTTTAATGTATCTACATAATCTCTTGTCTAGTTTATAATCGAGAATGATCAACGAACGCTTTTAACGAATGTCAGCTGATATCTGTCAACGAACATCAGCTGATATCTGTCAACGAATAATTCAATAAATGATCCAAAGCATTCGCGCGCATTCGTCCGTATATCGATCGTTATCAAACGCTCGTGTAATCCAACAGCTCTCATTAACCACCCACCGATACACTATTCGTGACAGCGTTTTACCGGCCACAGGACACGCTGAAACTGCTGATAGCAGTTTCGCGCTTTGTCCGACAGATGTCCGACAGATCGATTAGACCATCGTCGTTTTCAACCCTCTAAGCCGAGCCCCATCCGTTAGCGGCCTGTCCTTCATCTGGTCTATCCTGCGGGCATCCCTCATTGGATGTGCGCCGGATGAATTACCGACGCGACGCAAAGATGAGGGAATGAACTTCATGGCCCCCTCGTTTAAATAGGTTTATTCCGCGTTATACGCCCCCTCTCTCCCCTTCTCCGCGCGATTCTCGCAAGAGAGAAATATTTTTTTGTCAAACTTGTACTTTATCTTTATATTAAAAATTTGATTTTCCTGTTTATATTCTTTAAATATCCCACAGCTTCCTTTCAACGTTACCTTTACGTTCACTAGTAAATAAATGTTACGTAGTTGAATCATTTTATTTATGTACTATGTCATTTGATTTATCGATAAGACATTTCATATTCTAAATTAATAAAGCTTAATACGATTAATTTTTAAGCATTCTTTTTTATATTATCGTAAAATTATACTTTTTATGAAGAATATATCTATTTTTAGATACACATTTTCCTGTAAATGTATCAATTGCAAGTTTTATTAATCAATTGCAAGTTAAAACTTAAAATAGTAGTTTTCTCGTACGATGAGAGAGAAATACCGCGCTTCTCCCGTATATTAAATATTCAGAAAATCGGATCTCGGATCTGCGGAACAATATGACGGCGAATTTCTTTGAAGATTCACCGAAAGAGCCAAAGACTTTAACTCCTCCCCCAAGGCGCTAGACCGCATGATTGCCGTAATTTTGACTCATTACAATTACGCTAATGCCCAGCTATCAATTAGCGGAGGCTAAAGAGGTTCGCATTAAATATAATAGATAATATCGTCGTCGTTGCGAATCGTTCGTTCGTTTGCTATGCCTGGGGTCAGCGCAGAAATGAACGATGATAGGAACGATGATGACTGCTATGAATTAAGTTTCCACGATAAATCTTAATGACTAAATTATATACGTCTACAAGGGAACGGTAGACGTTTGTTCCACAGTAGCTGAGAAAATATTGTTTAAATGTCCAAATTTATGCCATAAAAACAAGAGAAGGAACGTGTCATAAATTGCTATCATTTTTATTACTTGGAAGTGCATTAAATAAATTAATTCAACGTATATTGAATTATCGATCGTATATTGAATTATCGTGTGACGCGACATATTTTGAAGAAATCAATTAGAGAAACACGCAATGTTTATTTCTGAAATAAATTATTCAAGTACATATCGACAAAGATAAAAAAGAAGGAGAGAGAGAGAGAAAGGGAAATAAATCTTTTATTTATAAATTAATTAAATTGAATGTTGAAACGTAAATAACGGAATTCCATGTTGCACTAGTCATTAATTCTCGGTATGAATGACGGGCGAGTATCAGAAGATATTCTTTTTACCGCAGTTGTGGAAGATAAACGGAGAGTAGGTTCAACGCGCGCGCGTTTCAAAGCACGTGCTATAATTCCATTCGGGTGGAGATCTCGGCGAGTAGCGGCGTGGATGTAAACTTGATTTTCCTTGACTTGCTCGCATCTCTTTGCCAGCTCGCGTCTGTGATCGTGTGTGCATTCTTAAAGTAACACTATCTTTCTCGGGTCCATCCCGGTCTAGGCTTCGGCTCTTTTTGCTCTCATCTCGTAAATATATAAAACAATCGCGATGCTCTCTCTCGCGACTCGAGTTCTTGTTGC